AAGGTCCTTAGAATTGACATGTTTCAACAAATAAATACAGCCCTGAATGTGCTCACCAGTCCATGCCAGGAAATTTGGAGGACAGCATCCTGGCCAACAGAAGGAGTTTCATATTCATTTCCATTACTAAAAAAGGTGATCCAACAAAATGCAAGATTATAAAATAACATCATTAATATCACATGCAAGCAAAATCTTGGTAAAGATTATCCAAAAATAGCTAGAAGAGTAAATTGACAGAGAACTACCAAAAGTTCATGCTGGATTTAGGAGAGGCCGTGACACCAGGAATATCATTGCTCATGTAAGATGGATCTTGGCTGAATGCAGAGATTAACAGAAGGATGTCTATCTGTGTTTTATTTACTGTGCAAAGGCATTTGACTCAGTGGATATTAATAAATTATGGATAGTATTGAGAGAATAGTAATCACAGAACACTTAATTATGTTTGTGTGGAACCTATACCTACACCAAGAGGCAGTTGTGCAAACACAGAAAGTGAAAACTGCATGGTTTGAAATAAAGATGATGTGTGTTAGGGTTTTATCTTTTATCCATACTTGTTCAATCTGTATGCTGAGCAAGTAATTTGAGAAGCTGGACTTTATGAAGAAGAATGTTGCATCAGGATCAGAGGAAGATTCATCAACAACTTGCATTATGCAGATGACACAATCTTGCTTACTGAAAGTGAAGAGGGCTTGAAATACTTGCTGAAGATGATAAAAGGCTATAGCCTTTAATAGAGATTACATTTCAATATCAAGAAAATAAAAAGCCTCACTACTGGCCAATAGGCAGCATCATGGTGGATGGAGAAAAGGTTGAAGTTATCGAAGTTTTTATCTTGCTTAGACCTGCAGTTAACACACTTGGTGCCAGTAGTCAGGAGATCAGAAGATGTGTTGCATTGGAAAAATCTGCTGTCAAAGACCTCAGTGTCCTGAGGAGGAGTAATGTTAGTTTCATGACTAAAGTGCACTTGATTCAAATCATGGTGTTTTCAATCCCTTGCTATGCACCTGAGAGCTGGACAATGACTAGGGATACGGGTGACAGAAGAATTGATGCTTTTTATTTAGTTATGCTGGAGAGGAATACTGAATATCCCAAAGACTTCCAAGAGAACCAACAAATAAGTCTTGGAGAAAGTTCAATCAGAGAAAGTGGAGATGAGGATGGAAAAACTTCTCATGCTTTGATTCTCTCCCAGGGACCAGTCCTTGGAAAATGACCTCATTCTCAGAGAGGTGGAGCATCAGCAAAAGTGAGGAAGATCCTCAGTGAAATGGGGACTCGAGCAATGGGCTTAAGTGTATCACAGATGGTAACGATGGCACAGGATAGGGCAAGGTTCAGATCTATTTTTCATTGGGTCACAATGAGTTGTACTTGACTTGAGGGCACTAGACAACAACAACAGTTCTTTTTTTTTTTTTATTTCTACATCTTTAACCAGATCCTCTTTTCCTGTCCTAGTTTCTTGTCCTCTCATCCTTTATCTTGTTACAATCCATCTTTAAAATTTTTATTGAAAGTACAAAACAGATACTATCAAATTTTACCAGTACTTATCTCACTAACTTTTCAAAGGTAGTATTATCACTCTCTCCTTTGTGGATTTTTTTTTCTCTCCTACATTACTTATGGGCAATCTTCTCCCGTGTGATTAACTGCCTCTGAAAACCCACCAGAGGTCAGCTATGGGTCGGCTATGAATCTACTGTACACAACAACAACAACAACAACATCATCTCTTATCCTTGGGAGATACAGAGTCTATCTTAATCTGATATTCCTCTCAAACCCAAGAAGAATGAAATTTTACCTACCTGAGATCTCATCTTGAAGAATTTACTGCTGGCTGAATGATCTGGTAGGATCACTAAATGACACAATTATGTGATTAGCTACTAAGAGAAAGATTTGGAGTTTGAGTTCACCAAGAGGAAGAAAGGCAGGACAAGCTATTTCTAAAAAATCAGTTATTGAGAACCTTAGTTTCAATTAGAACCATCGTCCTATTCTGATAGTTCACTGTGGATTGGAATAAATTCAGTGGTAGTAGTACTTGGTGGAGGATAATCCTGTGACCTGGATTTTTGGGAAAGGCTATGAGAAAGCCCATTGCTCTGAGCTTCGGAGCACTTTGTTGTCATGGTTGTTGAAGCTGTTGCTCTTAGGCCTGTTCAATATTGCCAGCTCCTCTGTGGTACTACTGGGGAGCTCTGGTGGTATAGTCAGTAGGGAATTGTGCTACTACCCCAAAGGTTGCTACCAGCAGCTCCACAGGAGAAAGATAGAAATCACCTCTTGTGTGATTTATAGCCTTGGAAACCCATAGGGTTGGATATGAGGCAGAATCGACTTGAAAGAAATGAGCTGAGTTGAATTCTATGGTACCACAGCCTATAGGGTCTGAAAGAGTCCAGTCCCTCCTACTGCCAACCCACGCTCTCTCACAGGTGGAACCTCCAGGTCACTATGTCTCACTTCAGTCATCTTTTTCTGTTACTGATTTCCAATGTGCTTGAAAAGATTTTTTTTTAAATGTTGTTGACTGCCATTGACTTGGAGTTGATTAATGGTTGACCCTCCAGTGGATTTTCAGAGGCAGTAAATTGTATGAGAGGAGATACCTATTCTCCTCCCACAGATGGGCAGTTAGGATTAGGAACCACTGGGCTAAGCAAATCCAGATGGAGTATTCTTCACTTACTTATATCCTGTGCCCTGTGCTCCATGCTTGCTTCTAGCTCCCATCTCTCTGGGATATCCGTTCTTTGAGTCTGTGCCCCTCCCTTTGGAAGGCAGGTTACTGAGTAGCTAGCTGTCTCTTTCACTAGCCAGGACTCTTCCACTTTGTCCTAAGCAGAAATGTCATCATGTTACTGCCTTGTGTTTGACAACCAATTCTTTTTCCAACCCAGATGCAAATTTTGACCTATTTTCACTTATTCTCAGTCACTGCTGTCATGCTTGGGGGTGGGAGGTGGGAGCCAGACGCCTTTGTTCACATTGCCATCTTCCTCAGATTTCAGACTATAATCACTATCTGTGGGTCATTTTGAGGCAGGGAATATGCAGATGTTACTTTTTCTTATGTTATATTTGTATATACAAATATCTTGTACTGGTGTTTTCCCCATGCATTCATGCACACATACATTTCTTACATACATTTAATATTCCTCAAAATAATACGCATACATATGGAAATTTTTGTTTCTGGTATTTTTAAATCTCTAAAATAAAAATTGTGAATATATAGAGAAGCAATGTGTCTATATGACCCAGCCTGAGAAAACAAGACCTGAGGCACAAACTGAGATTTGTACACCAATGTTCATAGCAGCATTATTCACCATCACAAGAACATGAAAACAGTCTAAAGGTCCAACCACAAACAAATGGATTGAGAAATTATGGTATATTCACACAATGGAATACTATGTAGCATGCCGGAACAATGATTTCGTAAATTATTAACTAACTTGGGAGGAACTGGAGAGCATTATGCTGAGTGAACTAACTCAGTCCCCAAAGGATAAATATTGTATAAAACCATTATTGTAGAATGAGTATAAAGATCCAAGAGTGGTGGGAGGGGTTGGAAGCAGAGGGATGAGGACGTGCAGGGGGAGGGGGTATTAAGCATGGGCTTGTCCAATTTGATGGGGTGAGGGGTTGAGGGAGATTGAAAGACTTTGTTCTTGAAAACAATGTATTCGAATTTTGTAAATAAACTAGTAGAAAAAAAAGGAATGTGAAAGGTCTTCAAATTATCTCTCATTGTCATGTTTTTTCATTTTCTAATTGTATTCAGGGATATTTTCTCCTACCCTTGTGCTGAATGTATCAGTGAGGTTTAAAATGTGAGCAATTACGATTTTGACCAAAATAAGTGGTCAACATTATTACTTTGTACACAACAAGTCTCTCCCTTGGGAAAACATATTAAAAGGTGGTTGGCTATAAAAATAGATATGCTGAGAGACACTTAAACTTTCTCTTGTTGGTAGAAAACATACAGATTTTGTTAGTAAATTTGTTTTCTTTGAGTATTACCATGGTGCTCCTGGTCTCTCTGTAAGCTTAATTCATTGCTAACAATCATCTTTTTGACTACAATAAGAAATCAGAAAATGGAAAGGAAGAATTAGACTGCAGGAAGCATGAAATTACTTTTTATACTGTAGTTGAAGGGACTTGCTGTGTAATTATTTTAATGCCTTAGTAGCCAGCTGTGAGTAGCTCTTGAAATATTCTTTGCTGTGAGAATCAATTATATACTTTCTGTCTATGCCCTTGAGGCTGGAAAGCACATTCTCTAAGGTCTGTAATCAGAGAGTGTGAGTTAGGCTCCTTTCTTGACTCACAGATTTTCTGTCTTCTGTTCACTTCATGCTATCTTTCAGAGGGACTGTCTAAGTGAAGGAGCCTTGCTTGGTATTAAAATGGTTTAAAATTTGGATAGTTAAAGAAAAGGTGAGTGGTTCAAACCCATTTAGCGGCTCTGTGGGCAAAAGATGAGTCATTCCACTGCTGCCAAGATTTACAGCCTCAGAAACCCCGTGGAGCAGTTTTGCTCTGTCCTGTAGAGTTGCTGTGAATCAGAATTGAGTTGATGGCAGTAGGCTTGGGTTTTTGGATCCAAGTAATAGGATTAGCTTCCTAATAATATTGCAACTTTATTAGTCTACAGAGATCTTTAACATACATATTTCCTTTGATTATCTCAAAAGTCTTGTGATAGAAGAAAAGCAAGCTGGATTATTTTAACTTCACAAATTAGGAAACTGAGGTCAGAAAGGTTAAGGGATTTAGTTATGACCATACAACTAAGAAATTGTAAAGCCAGAACTTGAAGGTACATCTGTTGATGCTGAATTTAATGCTTCTTCTGTTTTTGGATGTTGGAGTTTCACTTGTGCTTAGCCAAGATATGTGTGGTTAAGATGGTGCAATATTTCTATATGTTCTTCCTTATCTTTCAGAAGATGACATCTTAGAAGATGATGGAATTTTCAGTATTTTGATACTTAATGAAACTTGCTTGAAATTGAAGCGGCATCCCAAGAAAATTGGTTCAGAACAAATGTACCAAGTAAGTTCTCTTTTGCTATCAGAGTTGTATCACTTAAAAATTTGAAGTCTCTGAGCAGCCATTGAAGGGGAAGGAACTGCGGGGTTGGGGGAGGTGAGGAAAGGCAGGAAAGAGGAAGGGAGGAGTTTAGTGGCAGAAGAGGAGGTGGAGGACATGGAGATGAAGAAGAGGATTAACCTGGAGTTAGGGAACAAAGCCCCGGAGGAGGTGACAGAGTTAGTCCTTGATAATTGCAGATGTGTCAATGGAGAAATTGAGGGCCTAAATGATACTTTTAAAGAATTAGAGTCTTTAAGTATGGCTGATGTGGAATTAAGTTCACTGGCTCGACTTCCCAGCTTAAATAAACTTTGAAAGTTTGAACTTAGTAACAATA